TCGCAAAAACCCACAAGCTATTTGATGAGTTTCAAATGTTTAAGCAGCCATTAAATGTACAAGATCTAAGAACTTGAATGCATATGTAATGTTAGGCCATTAAAAGGGCAGAAAAACAAATAGAAACTCGAATAGTTGCATACGAAAAAAGTTAACTCAATCATACGAACTTTAATGAATAAACCTTATTTTTTTTTCTCTTCAATTTATAGATTTCTTACTATTGCTTAAAAATGCACGAATTTTATTTTATAACTATGTATATCTATAAAATTCCTGGCATAACATACTTTAACCTAATTAAAGAAGGAAACTTCTGTTCTAAAATTCGGTTTCAATCAAACTTCTCGGAATCGAAATGTTCTTTACTTCAGTTCCAATTTAAATCTTTTCAAAAGTGCCAACTTTGAGTTGTTGGAATGAAGTTAATTAACAAAATAAACCAAAATATATATTTTTTTTGTCAGCAAAATTTTTATTTTATTTTATTTTATTCTTGATTGTATTTGCAAGCTAAACTATTGAAGTTTTAACTGATGTACATTTTATTTATTTTATTGCGTAATCCCTTATAAATATAAATAATTATCAGTTGATTTAACTTATGTTAATTGATATATGGGCTAATACAGTGAGAACTATTATAGACGGATGGCGAGTAGGTTTTTGTCCCCTCAAAAGGCGCGTACACCTACTAGAGGGGAATGGCCAGATTAAAAGAGGTAAAATAATATTATTGATACGATTTCTAATACCAAACACTATCAGTTTAAGCTATATGTATGTTATATATTGAGTACATTGATTCATCTAACCATATCCCCAGGCTGTCTGCCATTAAAGTTTCAGAATTTGCGCATGTACAAGACAAATGTTAACGATCTGCTTCACATAAATTAACCATGCACTTGCATCTACTCATAATCAACTCTAATTGCCGCCTATTTCCACACGCATTCCCAACGAATGCAACCGCAACAGCATGACTCATGCCCAGGCGCACTTCTCACTCCACTTAACTTCAGGCCAATCCACTCGCACCTCATGCCATTCGACTACTGCCCATGAGGAAAATATTAGTGCAACTAAGACCATAGGCAAATAATGACATAAGCAAACACAAACAACAAGAACCATTCCGAGAGAGACAGTTGGACATGTCGTTGCATGTTGCCAGCCACGAACCTACCTAAAAATCAGAGAACTTGAAGATCTGCTGCAACTGCAGATAGTAGGAGATGAAAGATGCGTTATCTATTCATAAAATCTATGAAAAAGGGGCGAAAATTACTTAAATAAAAACCGAGCATAGAGCCTATAGCACTGACATGTTTGTACAAGACACACACACGCACAGGCACACACAGAAATCATCGATGGACAAACAAAAAGAACAATCAAATAAATTAAACAAAGGCCAAGAGTTCGACGTAGGTTCACATCTGTGTTTGGGTTACCGCTTGTATAACAATCTTATCGGCATATCATTTTTCGTGCCGTCTTGTATCTTTTTTTTTTTTTTTTTTTTTTGCGTTGAGTGTGTGCATGTGTTGAGAACTGCGTCCGAATTCCAAGTCCAATCCGAATCCGAACACAGTTATGCACATGTTGTACCCCAGACGAGACGAGACGAAACCCCACAGACAGCAAACAGTCGTTAAACAACATTAAATGGGTCTCGTTTTGGTTGTGGACCACCTCCTCCCCCCCCAAAAACCGCTCCGCTCTTCACCAGGTTGCCCAAGCCACATCCACTGCCAAGTGCATTGCGCGGATGAGTCATCCGTCGGCCGGTTGGCTGGTTGGTTGGTTGGCTGGTCTCTGGCGTTTGCCTGGGAAACGGCAAAGCTTCCGCGATCGCCGCGTAGACGATCGTCTGCCTAAGCAGCGCTCAATGACAGGCGTTACAAACGGCGGCAAGTTAATGACCCATGTGCAACGGATCACCCAGCAATTGTCTTTGTTTCGGTGCTTTCTAAATGGAAAACAAATAAAAGTATCTGTCGGCGAACGGCGATCGGTGGAGGGAGAGATATGCCAGGGCCACCAGTAGAGATCATAAAAAATTAATACAAATTACACGAAGTGGAACACAGAGAGAAGCCAAAAGTTCGGCTGGCAAGCCGACAGATAAGCAGAGCATAACTGAGAGACATTTTTGGGCAGGAGCTAACAAAGCGATCGCGTATTAAACTCATGCAAATTGAGCGCAAGCAAGTTAGTTAGAAAACGAAATGGATGAGAGGCAACATTGCGCAAGTTGCCGAGTTGTGGGCATTACTCATTAGCATATGACGGAGAGTATCTGTAGCTTGGCAGGTAATTTCGAGCTCAGGTTTTGAGGCAGGCTCCAACGACTACGTCAAGAGCTTAATAACAAAGACAAAGACACGTCAGAGAAGCTGGTGAAATAAAAAATCTTGATCTGAAAGCTTGTCTTCATGAAATGCTGGGAACTGTTGTGCCGAAAACTTCGGGAATCTGCTCGATTGACACCATTCAAAAAGGGGAACAACACGCGTCAAACTTTTGATCATGTGGGTCATTTGACATGCAGATTGAAAACTCAATTAAAAGCTAATTTGACATATTCACTTTCCACTACCCATCATCATTTCGGAAACAGTAAGCAAATCATATTTCCATGCAATTAGTTATGCAAATTGATAGCGACAACAATGTTATATGGGCTTTTCTTTCCAAACAACCCCAAATCGAGATTTTCTTTTCTTTTTTTTTATCAATCAATGTGTTGACACACGTCGCTTAACATTAGCTGTAAAATTTCAATAAAAATTGCAATAATTACCCGCATGACCAGAAAGAAAGTTGATCGAAAAGATTTGAAAAAAGAAATATCATGTAATCCTTTAAGAAAACAAGGTATTCATTTGAGAACCTTTCACATGCCTCGAACAATTCGATTCATTGAAACTCTTATCTCACTAAATATAATCTAACAGCTTGGAAAAAGGCAATTCACTAATTGGTTCAACTAATGCGTAAATTACCGACGGCATAATCGCGTCCGAGGAGTTTGAAGTGTTTCTTTTTATGAAAATCAAGCATAGAGTCGGTTTAAATCTATAGACTCCACCCAGAAACGATGATTCATAAAATAACAGCCACGCAAAGGTAGCCCATTAAATAAGGTCTCGGCCAAAGCTCCGCCCCGCAAATACAAAAAGTAAAGTAGCCCAAAAAAAAAGTAAAATAAAAGAAAAACATCGAAACAGAAGCATACAAAAACCCAACTTCAGTCGTTGGCTCATTGGGCCAAAGCGAAAGAGAAAATGTTGTTGCGGCTTCTTTCTGGCTGAAAAGGTTGCCGGCGTTAGGGAAATAAGCCACGCCTTTTAGATTTATGCTGCCGGCGCGAACCCGGAAAACCAAGAAGGAAAGAAAAAAAAAAACTATGCAGCGAGACTTTGTCGCTTGTGCGAACGAGAAGGCAAATGCCAGAGCATAGCAAAACATACAGCGAGTAGTTCTTGTAACAATAGACCTCTAGAGCAACCCCTAAAAGTGTGGCGAAAGTTGTGTAACAGTGGAACGACTCTAAAGATACTTGAGACGAACGCTCCGAGTTTACCAAGTAGACAATTCTCTGTTCGATTGCGTTAGTGTGCGTGGGTCAGAGCCAACTGACAACATTGTGGGTGGAGTTAAGAGCCCTCAAGTTGGCCAGTTCTTAGCTAAGATAAATCGAAATGCTACCTTTGAAAAATTCTGAATTTCATCACAAGGAAAGTTTCTTACTGCATTCTTTTTTAATCAACATTTTCGGATTAATCACTTGTATAATATATATAAGAGGAGTTGTATGAACTGGAATGAATAATTTGATGCATATTTACACTATTCTAAAATGTTTGTGGTTTTAAGTATCAAGGTTACAACAACTTTTAATAAATCAAGAATATGAATGAGTACGATCGCATACTTATGCTGAGGTTTAGTATGGGTCTTTGTTATAAAACCAGATAAAAGAAAGTATTGAATGGAATTCTTAACAACTGAGTGTAAAAAAAGGGCAAATATTTAATAAACATTTCGGAAATGTTATTGCATACAATTGTATATCATGTTCGTTTGGCTGTGGCAGATAATCCCAAAATAAATGATATGGCAATGCTATAATTTTTGGATCGTTTCGCTCTAATGAATACGAAAATTCCTGCGAATTACGAACAAAAAGATGAGCTATAGCGGCGGCGACATGACGGGCCCATTGTTGACAAAAAAAAAAAAAAAATTAAATAATAATAATAAAATGAATGAAATGTATGCAAAAAATGTATGACAAGCGTTCATTACTTATACTACTTGGCTTGCATCTTATAGATACATAGCTATGGCTAGCATGTCGGAAGCGCTGGAAAAACATTTGTAAAACATTTATAGAGTGTGCTGATAAAGAGACATGGCTAAAAGGCTCGTCATATTCGTTGACAACTCGTTATATGAATGTGAACTTGATAAATGCATACATCTATAAAGGAAAGTATAATAATCATATATATGTGCATAAATACAGATGTATCTGGGTTTTTTTTTTTTTCAGACACCTCAACTTTGCCCACTTGCCCATATCTCCAGACTGTCACAGGCTCTCTCCAAGCTCTCTTTTTGCCTTCCAGACGTTGTGCTGAAAATGTTTGTCATGCAACGACGATTTAATACAATTAATATGCTAACTGTACTTCTCGCCGCATACAGTTACAACAAAGGCGCGACGAGAACATAACCTGACAACACACACACACACGCACACATACTGAGACACCCACTTGGCAACAGGCGCAAGGTGGCCGCCCCGCCCACGCCCATGCCCATGCCCACTTCGCAGAGAGGGAACGCGGCCTGGCAACAAATTTTATCATTTTATTATTTTTTTTTTTTGGTGGCTGCGCACAAAAAATACGAATGAGGCGATGTCAACAAAAATACCAAAACAAAAAATTGAAGCAGCGAGAGCAACTGAGGCCTACGTACAAAATGTCAAGTGAGCGCTCAGAGAGCAGGACAGACGACTCAACTCTCTAGCGCGCCGAATATCAAAGCAAGAGAAACAAGAACAACCGCAGCCGTAGCAGCAGCAGCAGCAGCGGTGGCAGCGGTGGCAGCGGCGACGGCAGCAGCAACGAATGCCGACTGCGAGAGCGTGCGGCGTATAAAAGAGCGCACAAGGCGCTCACGCCAGCCAGTTTGAAGTCAGCTAACGAAGCGTGCGGACGCAATAGCAGCAGCAGGAGCGAAGCAAAACAAAGTGAATGAACCAGACACATTTTTGACGTGTGCGTAAACGCCAACGCCAACAACAAGAAGAAGAAGAACAACAACAACAAAGCATTTGTGTAGTTAATTTATTCATTGTGTGCCTCGCGCGAATCTGCAAAGAGAAAGTCTTGAGTCATCTGCGAAGAAAGACATTATTAATTACAAACAATTGTGCAATTGGAAACAAAGAACAAGTTTTCCTTGATATCAGCAGCAGCAGCAGCAGCAAAAAACAAGAGCAACAACAACAAATACAATGGCCGTGGCCTTCTATATACCCGATCAGGCGGCAATGCTGCGCAAGGCTCGCGAACAGGAGAAGCAACTGTTGCGCCTACGCCAGTGGCAGATGGCGACCGTAATGCTAAACACCATACGCCAGCTAATGGACTCCACGGCCGGCCAGTGTCTGCAGCGTGCGGGTCGCAAGTGCGGCAAGTGGCGCAAACCATCGCAGTGAAAAAAAAAAACGCATCTTGAGTAAACCACAAACACAACTATACACCTGCAACTGCAACTGCAACTGCAACTGCAACTAGAACAACAGTCCACAGTCAGTCAAATAGTACAAAGGAAACACCCAGCGATCGGTCTATCTGACAACTATTCCCGACTCAAAATTTCTGCAGGACCCCCCACACACCCCCTAAGTTTACTCATCAAAGCGATTGTGATAATGGTTTTGTTTCTTTCGATATAGCAACAACAACAACAACAACAACGAGTTTTCGTTTTAGATATATTTGATTTATATTATAATTAAATCTAATTAACGAAAAATGTATTTAGTTTGTAAGCTTTTGTAATCGTCCTGCTTAGTCCTTAAGCGATAAGCATATTAAAAGCTACAGAACTCAGTAGAATATTTATAAGGCCTGTCAAAAGTTGTATCAATTTTTTGGCAGGCCACAAAACAAAAAACGACAAACAAAAAAAATAAAACAAAAATAAAACAAATACTTAAATAAATTTTTATTTATTGGCTGTCTTAAAATTTTCAGCGTATGCACAATGCAAAGCAAACCGCATGAAAATTAATATATCAATATCGGAAATAAATAAATCAGATCCAACCGGAAGTTAAGTAAATCAAAGAGTCAAATAGGCCCACATATATGAAGCGATATTTATATACTCTATATATATATATATATATATAGATGCATTCGTTTATTGTATTACGGAACTTGTAAAATTCATTTTAATCTGCTAGAACAAAGAAAATTTCTCGAAATCCGCGAAATCGTCAAGTGCCGACGGCTTTCGATCACATTCAATTTTTATATGTATGTGCCGACGGCATTTAAGTGAGCTGTTGTATACAGAGGCATATGTTTTCAATATGTTTCTGCATAAATACAAATTCATATTAGTTTTGAAATTGTTCTGACAAGCCGAGAAGCATTTTAAAAAGCATCAGTTCGAATTAAACTCTGGAGAAAATCATCACGAAATTCTCGAGGATTTTTAAGCATCTAGATGTAGATCTAGGAACTACAACTTATCGAGTATAATTTTTATATATAAAACTGCTCTGGCTGGGATTATCAGACGGAGGAGATACCCTGAACCTTCTTCTACCGAGAGCGGCGGGCGGTAGCTCTCAAATGAAAGATACTTCTAGAAGCTGCATGCCATGCAAAACTAAGAGATATATCGATTGCTTGTAATCGGGTCAAGTTATCGATTAACTAAAACTAACTAAAACAAATCCCCTCCTTCAACAATCGACGCGCTTCTACATACGTACGGACGGACAGACAGTCCGACTGACTTGGATGATCAGGAACATATATGCTTCACATTTTCAATGGATTCTGGTTAGAAAAATATGTATAGTTTATCTCATTTATTTGCCTCTTTCGTGCCCCGCATTACGAGAAATTAAGCAAGTCTCTTCAATTGAGCCAAAACTCTACATAGACCCTTTCCTTTTTTTGGGTTTTAATTAAGGTATACAGCATTTACATATATTTTTCATATCACATTGTAGTTGTGAATTCCCATACACTTTGAATATAAAAGTTTTCCACTTTTCTGGCTAACAGCACAAACACCCGCGGCAGAGTTGCCAAGTTAACCAAACTGGCGTCCCACAGCGTCAAGACACAAGCAAATTCAATTATGCAAAAAATTCAGAAACATTTTCAGCTGCAAAACTTGGCTGTGCGTTTGGCGCCCGTTTGATAATGTCAAAAAATTAGGTGCTAACAAAACAATTTGCATTCTTAAGTTAATGTTGCTTCTATTTTTTAGCAGCTGGCTCAACTTATGGAAAATCAGCGCTGGCAATTCCAAGGGGGCTCATCATAAGCGCCATTTGAAGTCGGAACCTTCCCCCAATACGCCCGACCACGCAGCCGCTGCCATTTAATTAAACTTTTGCACTTATGCAGCTGCAATCAGACGCAGTGCATCCTGCATCCTGCATCCTGCATCCTGTGTCCTGTGTGTTCAATTCATTTTGATTGGCAAACATTTTTGGCGCAAAAGTTCATAAAAAGTTTGCAAGCGCGTTGGCGAAAAAATCAAAAATTTTGCACTTCAACCGAACAAAACTAATTAACGTACAACAGATAAAAGTTCTTCTAAATGCGGGGGCGCAATCGTCGAGGGGCGTGGCATATTAAGAATAATTGAGACAAGTTTATGATTATGTTTTCGCCGTCGACAACTTGTTGGGCCGCACACGCAATAAAAAACTTTTCCAAACATCGAGCGATTTGTAAGTAAAGCTGTAAAAATCACAGACAAAACCAAGTAAGAGGTTCTATCCGGGAGCTCCCGACTAGGGGATACCCTGAACCCTCTTCTTCCAACATCAAATGCATATATATTTATTCTATTTTAGAAGCTATATGTCAAGTTTGATGACTCTAGCTCTCATTATAGCGATATCGATTTTTATCGATTGCTTGGAAACGGAGTAAGTTATCGATTATCGAAAACAGACTCGATCTGCGCAGGCTACATCTCAAATTTCAAGTCTCTTACTCTTATAGGTACTGAGATCCTTGCGTTCATACATACGGACCGACGGACGGACAGACAGACGGACATGGCTAGATCCACTCGGCTATTGATGCTGATCAAGAATATATATACTTTATGGGGTCGGAGATGCTTCCTTCTGCCTGTTACATACATTTGGATTTTGCACAAATACAATATACCCTTACACCCATTTTTAATGGGTTCAGGGTATAAAAAACAGTTAACACAAACTGCTAGCCAAACTTCTGAGCGGCTAATTAGTTGGCAAAGCGTTTCTAATATGGCTGCCAGCCAAGTTAAGTGAACTCGCATCAAAACAAACTCCGCGCTCGGTTTATTGATATAAATTTCCACGAAATGCACCAAAGCTGCCGACAAAAACCTTCAGATTTCTATCGACAACGATTCCTCACATAATTCCCTGGCATTTTGGCCAATTTCTTGTATATGTGTCCCAAACGAATTATTCGTTTAGCTCAACATTCTTTGCAAAATGAAGCAAACAATTGGTTTAGACCCAAACCAAACCCTACAACAACAAGAGAAATCAGCAAAAAGCTGAAGCAGACAGCAAAAAGGCAAAAGTCGACTATTGAATGCTCTACAGTTGAGTCAGTCGCAAGTAAGCAAGGGATTGACCAATTTGTTGTCATTAGTAATAAATTATTGATAATATTAATTCATTATCATCAGCATTTATTCACTTTCAAATTACACATTCAAAATTTGATTATGGGGTATTCAAAAGTCTCCCATGTCCATCTTCTATTTGTCTTGTCCCTTTTATTCTGGATTGTGCAAAAAAAAAAATTAAGTTAAATCAAATCAGTCAACAACTAATGGCAACTTAATGACATTAGCTGAGCTGCTTGGCGAAAAGGAAATGTTTTTACACGAATTATGAGCACAGAAAACTAAAAGCCACCCAATGGAAACAGGGTATTGATTTAGTCAGCTGGAAGAAAATGTTCACTTTCCCGTTCTACATGTTGTGGGTATTATGACAGCTGTGCAGAAAGGGAAAGTAATTGAAGAGCAAATGTGATTAGAATTTGGTTTTGATTTAAGAGCATAACAATTGTAGGGTCAAGAATATTTTATTAGGCTGAATCTCTATTTCTTGCTTGCAATGAAAATACATATAGACGGACGTATCGACTCGACTTTTTGACCGATAAGAAAAATATATTATCACATAAATTATAAATTTATTATATATATAATTATATTATATAACAAAAGTGTAATAAGGGTAATAAGTATCGAATTGTTTGAGCAAAGCTTAAAAGTACTCACTTTTTCTCTTCCACGTGCTCTCTCGCTCTCGCTCTCTCTCTTAAAAGCACTTGCCAAAAATAAAATGCTTTGCAGCAAATATTTAACGATTCCAGATTTGAACGTAAACAGGTCGATGACTAATACTTATACACGATGACACGAACTTGACGCTTTTCACGTTACAATAATAATGTAGTTCTCTTAGTTTGATCGCAATTGATTTTACACGAAAATCCGCACAGCAAACGACCGATCAAAGAAGATGACGCGCACCGAATAAATTATCTACCTACGCCTAAGCCGGCATTCGCACTAATACAATAACAACTAAGTACTAGGACTTTTTGCGCTCACACTATGTGCACCAGCTCGCCTCTTTCGTAAGAGCCAAGTAACGGGATCAGTAACAGCAGTATGACCAATCGCGAAATGGACAAATATGTAAATTAGCAATCACAATGCTCGCTCTCTTTGACGTGAGCGCAGAACGAAGAATCTCGTAAGCGAAATGGACAAATATGTAAATTAGCATTCACAATGCTCGCTCTCTTTGACGTGAGCGCAGAGCGCAGAGGCCACAAGCATCTGCGAATAAATTACCTTCCACAACATCCGCGTTGTCCGCTCTCTTCAAAAATTCCCTATAGCATAGTCGCATACAGACAGGGAATATTGATGCTGATCCACTATGTATACACTTTTTTTTATTTTATTATTTTTCTTATATATACAGGCACTGTAGCACTTGACATATTCGATTTGGGCGCACTTTCACGCAATTAGAACATTAGCATTCTTGACTTATTTTGACTTATTAAAATTGATGAACATTTGCCATTTAAAAAATCAGCTCGCAAAACGCCCCAAAGTAATCAAAAGCAAGAAAAAACCCACCAAAAAAAACAACGAAATAACAGCATCATTTATAAGCCGCGACAAGCAGTTCCTAAACGAAACATTCAAAAATTCCCTTTTGATTGATGATCTGGACCCGAGCGACGGGCTAGTCAAGAAGTCTGGCCGGAAAAAAAAACATATATATATATATATATATATATACATAAAGGACACGCACACTTCGGCGACAATGGAAACCGAAATCGGGCAGGAAAACGGAAATGGAAAAAATGGGCAAAAGAAAAAAAGAAAGATACATTAATTATTGAAATGTCATTAAAATAAAACGAAGCTGACAACGCGCAGATTTCGCATGAATATTTAACAGGAATAACAACAAATAGACGAGTGGCTCCCCCCCCCCCCCCTGAAAAATTATGACTAGAGCAATACGATGCGTGACCGCATACGCAGGATATTGATATAGCCAAAGAGAATGACGCATTGGGAACTCGTGCGGGTGGAGGTTTGAGATATTGAGGTGCGCAAAACACGCAAGTTAGCTCCGAAAGATGATGGAAGACATCAGTCCGGGCAGGCAGAGTCGACAGTTCGCCCCATTCTTGATTAAGAGCATATTAATTGCAGGGTGGAAAAACGGATAAACCCAGAAATAGGAAGCACTCGGCCATTCATCATTTGCCCTGGCAGCGTTAAATGAGCACACGCACAGCCAAGTTGAGCATTTAATTATTTGGCCTGGAATCCGGAATCGTGATGCTACATCGTCGTATCACATCATTATATCAGCAGATAATAGTCCTTTATGGCATTAAAGTCATGTGTCAAGACTCTCAACTGGACAAATCACACAAAGTTGCCAAAAGTGAATTATGGCGCAGTCTGGCAAATATTTATACGTTCATTTCGGAATTAGAAATAAAAACTGACACACCCCCCAAAATGCAAATATGGGCAAGCAAAACAATGCTAGCTGAAAATTATATCTATATGCGGCACCTCTATAGGCCCCCAAAATATTCACACTTCTTTTTTTTTTGATTTCTTATTCTTCTCGAATTGTTAAAAAACTACGTTCAAAAACAATTTGCATATATCCTACTTTAAAGGGTATTTTAATGCGTTCCATATTTACGCAATACACATAAAAATGTATTTCCCATTGCAGGGAAATAAAAAGGGAAATAAACAGTTTACTGTTTAGAAAAAGCTTCATACTTGTGCTCTCCCACTTTCTCTCTCTCTCTCTCTCTCTCTCTCGCGCGCCAAAAGTAAATAGCTGCCGAGGAAAAAATTAAACTATGATCACATTTACCGATTGTAAAACAGCCGAAAACGGCTGGAAAACTACTTTATGCGGTAGTTTACACGCACCGATCGCGTTTAACACAATAAAAATAATAAAACTTGCTTTTTTTTAATCGCAACAGACATTTTACACACGCAAACGCACAACGAACGACCGATCAAAGCAGATGACGCGCACAAACTAAATTTCCTCAATGGGTTCACACCTACACTAAGCCGCTATTCACACCAATACAAATGCAAATGAGAAATTTTGCGCTCACGCCATTCGCAAAGCTCGCCTTTTGCTGTGGATGCACAGCCAAGTAACGGGATCAGAAGCATTACAATGGGCAGCAGCATAATGGGTACAGCACATACCCTACATTTGATTTCTTGAAGGGTATATTTTGGCAAATGAACAGCCATTATGAGGTGTCACATAAAAGAGATTCAAATTTGCCAGGGCCGAATGTCAAGGCAAACGTCAAACATGCGCCACAACTGTCGGCCAGACAACCCGCAGAGCTGTGCAGGATTTGCAAATTTTCGCACCGTGGCGGCAGCTAGCGACAGGCGGCTAAAACTATAAAATAAACAAACTTCCGGGACGTCAGGGCGAGGCGCAATGACACTGAAATGGAAGTCGGGAGTCGCCTTTGGCTGCGGCAGCGACTGATGAGCTGTTGATTTTTGATGTGTTTGACATACGCTCGGTCGCATTGATTGCACCATAAATAATGAATTTATGCTGACAGCAAGTCATCACAGTTCCAGGGACAGCGGCCAAATGGTGGTGCGTGCGACGCACTGTGTGCATCCTTTTTGCGCTGTTGTATGCCAACTAATAAAATATGTTTTTATTGTAACCGAAAGTCAGGCACATAACGTAACACAGCACACACACATTCACACACACGCACGTAGCGCGAATAAAAATTAATGAGCCACGGAGGCGCGCGTCCCTTTCTGAGAATGGTTATGAGGACGATGATTAGGTTGATCCTGTTGCGAAATGCTAAATGCCAAAAACGACGCTTGCGAATTTCACTTTTATGTATATAACAAATGTAAAAGGTGCATTAAACCTAATGTCAATAATATGCATAAATATGTCAGCTAATAAAACGAGCTAAATATATGTGTATTTGTGTGTGTTTGTGTCGTAAGCATGGGATGGCAAAAAATACAGGTAGCGCACAGTCAAGGGTCTTTATTCGGTTTTCTTTAAGCTAACCGCAGAAAATTGCAGTTTATTAAGATGCTAATTGAACACCATTGTTTGCATTAGGTTTCTAAAAATGGGGAAAAGTCCTTTTGCACTATCTAATGAAATTTATTTCGAATTGAAATGGTTTATACACTCACTTGGTCAATTTGAATTTGACAATTCTGCAAATAGTCGAATGTATGTATGTATATATGTATGTACATACTCAATTTAGCATTTGCACACATAAATATGTATGTATGTGCATAGCGTATAATTTTTCACACACAAAACATCAAAAACTTTCGTTGCACACTAACTTTATTCACTTTTTATTTTTTGGCGTCTCAACAATTATATAAGTATTTTCTTTATTTTCATATTAATTGTTAAAATATTCTTTACAGCAAATAGTCAGCTGTAAAAGATGGCACAGTGTTGCATTTCTGGCCTCAGGGCTGTTAACCGAGTTCCAGCTCTTGCCGTTCACACAAAATAAATCTTAACGAAGGTAGCATCTAGAGTTTAAATGTACCTAAGTTAATGGTACGCTCACTTGCGCTTGTTGAATTTCTTTAATATATCGGAGTAATTAAACTTCTGCCATTTGGTCTGATTTCTTATTTTGTGGCAACGCATCCATGATAACGTACACACATGCAAATGTAGGTACATGCACACATGTGTAGGCCCATGCATATGCATGTAGGTACATACGTACATGCATACATACACACATATGTACCTACTGCTTTAGTAAAATCTGTGCTCCACTTGTTTTTATATACACAAATATTGCGAGTCTTCACCAAATTCACAAGGGTTTTGTCGTTATTATATATTAACATAAATATTATTTGTGCATTATTTACTCAACAGTTCTGCGCCGCAGCTCGTTAACTGTAAACTTGGCCAACAGCTGTAGCGTTTTTGCCATTCACACAAAAGCAAGCAATTTTTACTGCTTTTAAAATATGTATAATAAAATAAGTTAATTGGCATTCAAGCTATATTTTTGATCAATTGGAATCTTTCTTTACAACCAAATCTAAGAAATTCATACTTGCGAGATTGTTGCCATCCAGCTGTTGTCAGATAAATAAAAACATTCAAGAACTATTCGCCCCCCAAACAGCTTTTACGATATTAACGTTGCGATTTTTTTTATAGATTTATATCTACGATTTGGCGTATAGTATTTTTTATTGAAATAGGAAACTTTGTGCATATTGCATGCATCAAATGGCACAGCAGAAACAACAACAACAACAATAAGAACAAACTTCTTCACTTGCAACATTTTTGTTGTTGTTGGCCGTTTTTTTTATGACAAAGAACGAAATGAGATGAAATTATTGACGGAAAAAAAAACGGAAATCGCTGGCAATAGTCAAAGGAAATAAAAGCGAAATTACTTTTGATAAAGCAACGGCAAGGACAACTACTAAAACTACACACACTCGTAAAAGCGAACAGAAAACAGCAGGAAGTTAGCTACAAGAGGGCGTTGATTTGTCACAAGTAGAATTATGAGAGTCGGGATGTCAGGATGTTGTTGCCCAGAAGCGGCTGCCGGAGACAACAACAACAACAACAACAACAAGGAGAAGAAGAAGAGGGTAACAACAAACACTTCAATTACCGGAAAACGTGTCTGATAATACCTACCGAGATTTGAGCCCAGCAAAAGCAGCATGGCCAAAAAGTAAATAAAAAGTAATTTTATTATTTGTATTTTTACGGCTTGGATTTATTCCTGTTTTTTACCATTTTCTCCCTACAGAGTATACCCTGTAAGCTGTGGCAGAATGGGCATAACCACACAGTTGCGCCAGCACAATGTTGAAGAACTTGCTTGAAGGAAAACCTCTAGGACTCGTTATAAAGCCATGTCTCTCTCTGATCCTAGCCAAAGGCTTACATCGAGATCATCTGAATCGTATCACAGTCCATAGTATCACAATTTTGTCATATAGCCATAGCTGCTTTTCATATATCAGCAGCTCTGAGCTTTAATATATCTCCAAGGCAGTAATACTCGGCCTTATAAGGCACCAGTAGAAGCAATTGTTCTATTATTAAGCTATTTTCTGCTGATATTAGCTTTGTTTTACCATAGTTATTTACACTCCCTTGTAATCTACGCTGTAAACTTATGTCCAACTCAGTTGAGTTCCATTTTGTTATTATGCCTTCCCTGCTGAATGCAGAGCATTGTTCAGTCGCGCATAGATTTTGTTGTTCTCATGCTTTTTGTATTGCTCGCTGCATTTATTATTATTAACGACTAGTTTATGGCGCACGGTTTGAGCGGCATTAATATTAATAACCAGTTCAAACATTGTTGTTGGCGCGCAGGAAATCGCAAACAGAAATGTGTTGACATGTTGCCCGTCAGGATCTGCATACCGTTGTGCCTTGGCTCAGCATGAGATCTCTAGTTTCTACCTATGATAGGTGTGTTGGTTTGCGAATAGTTTTAATGGGTTATTACTGCTGTCATTCCCTTTCGTGCTTGGCCCGGCAGCGGGCTAAGAAAACGCCATAAATGTCATTTGGTCGTAAAAGGCGAAATGCAATTTCTGGGCTCCTTGCCGCGCCCCCTTGAGCACTGAGCTGCACTTAAATTTATATATTTTATGCGCTACCAAACCCAGAACTAAAAAGTGTCCTTGTTGTGACTCCTCTCGTCGAGGGCTGCGTGTGAAATTATGATAAATGTGCATAAAATCGCATCGAGCAAAACAACCGCACGTTGGCATATCCTGTTTTTGTCTCTATCCTGCACTTGGGCTGCATTTCGTCATTGTTTTGCGGTCGTAAAAAGTGTCCTGCGTCAAGGAGAATTGCAAGGCGGCACGCACACAGGACAATGCACAGCCCGAGCCACCGAATGGCGTTTTTGATTGCATTTTCTTTTAATTAAATTAGCTTTTTTATGCGCTGCTCTGCTTTCTGTTTGATGCTCAAAAGAAAAACCAAAAAAAAACAAAACCCCAACGAAAGGACGAAAAATGTCCATGATAGGGAGTGTCCTGCAGCAAAAAGCAAAAAAACAACGGCAATAAATTGGTTAATTGAGAATTATCAGATTTGCGTTTCGTACAAAATTAAAGCATTCAATTTATTTTCAGATCGACCATCTTCAAGATACCTGAGTAGAGTTCTCTCTGAAACAACGCAACAGCCGCAACATAAACTAATAATCAAGTCCTAGGACTCTGAGTAAACACTTGACCGTGAGCCAGCTCTGCCTGCTTACAAGGATTTTCCATTTCCGCTCAAAGGCAATGGACACACACAGCTCAAGACGTAGTTGCGGCCAATTCCTGTGCCTATTACCGACTTGACCTGAGCTGAGGTCTGGGCATTTGCGGAAATTGCAAAATTTCTGCACCGTAATAAGATGAAATTAAGTTTGCACACAAAGCAAATAACAAGCCAAGCCCGGACAAATATCGATGCTAACACCACCGATCCCGCCGTAGTCCAAGCGAAGCCAGCTCAGCCACGCAGCAAATGAACCACTAATTGCGTGCCGAAATGCAATTTAGTGAACTTTGCCCCAGACCCAAAAACAAACACAAGACATCGGCAAATACACAAGCAAACACGGACAGTGTGTGTGGATGGGTGTGCGGCTGACCAAATGACCAAAGCGCCTGCCTGCAACAATTAAATTGAAAATTAAGCAAAAGTCTTGAGAAGTGCAAACAGAGGTGGCTGCCACAATTTACATTGATAATGCCCCGGCTGGTGTGGCAACATGTATACCGATACGGGGGCGCATTCGTTTAATTATGCAACAGCTAAAGGCTTTAATCCTTTCAACCTTTTATATATATTTTTTTTTTTGTTGCTTAGATGCGAGGCGTTGAGTGTTGACATTGATAAATTACTTGGCATTTGTTTTAAGCGTGATTTATCGCACCCGTCGCCCTGTCGCCCTGCCGCCCGGTGACACATTGACACGTGTCCTTACTTTTTGTCTGATTTTTAATTAAATGCAAACAAAAATGACCATTTGATAAGCCTCGAACCCATGCATATCGTTCGTTTTGTGCTCTGTTCAAAACCATTTGCCAGAGTTTTTAACTCATATTTAAAACGCACTCATTTCCGGGCTCCAGTTGGCAACTGCAACTGCAACCAACTGCGTTGGCATTCATTTTTATAGACTTGACTGCATACATGAAAATTCATTGCCTTTGCCCCGTGTGCAATCGGACTACGAACCGACCAATTCTGATGCCGACTCCCTTTACGGCGGCCCTTCATAGGCCGTTGCACTCTTGTGGCACAACAATTTTCAACTTAATGATGTTGCCAAATGCATTGGCAAATATGTTTCGCACAAAAATCAAAAATTCATTCAACATACAATGAATATTAAATGCTCTTCACTTTTCGTTTGGCTTCTTAAGGGGAAGCACAACGGAATATGAGAGCCTAGAGTGTAATACCTCCGATCCTATAGGCTATATATATGCTTGATAACTATGAAATGTCTCAGTTCGTCAGGTTCGTCTTTCGAATCGTGTCGTGCTTTTCACGTGTCACGAAAAACTCACGACCCGAGCCTATATACAAATTATTTGTTGACTTTTTAGCTTGTCTAATGGCAGGCATTAAATATTAATCAACAACTATTTATTTGGGCAATGTTGTAATACCCTATGCTAGGGTATATACATTGACTGTCTGTTGCGGTCAACCCTCGGAGGCTCACTTTGCGTGCATCCATTTGCAATATGTTTATGTGTAATTTTCAAATAAAGGTTTAAATGTTTTTGGCAAACAATCGCAGCGACCCTACAAGTGGGCGGAGGCGTGGGCGTGGGCGGGTTCGGTGTTGCACTGTTGTTGTTCCGGTTACCATTTGGAAGCGCTACGCTTATTTTGTTTATGGCTTTTTGCATATTTGCAAATGTGTTACATTGCGGTTATTTGTGCGTTCGATTTTGGTCATTGATATTGGCGGTGACGGGCACGGCTTTTGGTCTGGCTTTTATTTGGTTTTATTTGTTGTCCGGCGCTTTCGGGCCTGCTGAGTGCTTGTAATCAACATGGTTGCGGTTGGGTCATTGCTTTTTCCGTTATTATAATACCCTATCGAAGGGCATTCTAATTTGCTCACAACTCCAGTTAGAATTCAAGTTAGCAGTCGATTAACTTGCCAGAAATTTAATTTCCCTTTGACCCGAATACGCTGATCTTTGCTCTTGCAGAGAGCATGTCCCCAGTGTGTGGACATTGTGAATGTCGTGCAAGATAATTTACTGCCAAGCTGCAGCCACATCTGAGAGAGAGAGAGACGTTCATTTGTATGTGCATTGTGATTGGTCTTATTGCTTTTGATCCCGTTACTTGGCTGTGTGTACCAAGCACTTGTCGCAGAGTCGAGCAAAGTGCGTGAGCGCAAAAGTCCAAATACCTAATTGTCATTGTATTAGTGTAAGTGTCGGTGCGAGAGCATTTAGTTTGTGCGCGTCATCTCCTTTGATCGGTCGTTCGTTGTGCGGGTGCGTGTATAAATTCATGTGTTTTTCAAATAAGTGAGTTACATTATTATAATTGTGTTAAATGCGATAAGTGAGTGAAATATAATATGTACATATATTAATCCTTAAGCCTGTCGGCATACTTAGAGGCTTCCTTAACAATCGGTAAAATATGGCAGAGCTGGAGAGCTTTTTGTTTTTGGCGCGCGTTGGCACTTGGAGAGAGAGAGAGTGTGTGAGAGAGAGAGAGTGGAAGAGAACGAGTGAGTAATTTAGCACTTTTTCTTAAACAGAGTTGTTATTTATTTCCCTTTTTATGCCCTTGCAGTGGGTAATTTAACTTTGGCACGTAATTTGTTACGCATAAAAAATTTCACATATTTTATGAAAGTTTTAAATGCATTTTGATTATTGATTGTAGTTAATATTTTAAAATCGACCAAATTGAATTTCGAATGTTTTTATATGAAAAACAAATTTAAGCCATATGTGTGCTAGGGCATTCAAGCGTCGGTGTGTCGATATAAACATTCATATTTGTTTTGAAATATTTTTGTTTTCGCCATGGAAAAGGGAAGTATATTGCAAAAAAAAAAAAAAAAAACATGCCCAACTGTCAGCTGACCGCTAACGATGATTACATTCTAATTAAATTAGTATTTTTGCCAACTATGGAACTGACATAGCAACAACAACAGAGAGTTGGCTATAAAAACCTTTAGGTTCGATTTTAAAGGTAAACGCAATGGCAGACACAGTATTAGTATAGCCACGTGTATCTAAAGAGCTCAACTAAATTACGTGCCAATCAAGCACTTGGAAAATGACAATGGGCACGACGAGCCGTCTGATAAGACAAAGCAGGCGACACGTCAGACGGAAACCCAAAGGACAAACGCAGCACAAACTTATTTGTTTAACAAGACACATAGACACAACAGCAATGGGCGTCGACATATGGCAGCAGGAGTAAGACAATCCTTGCCAGCCACACACACACACACACACACACACACACAAGCTGACTGTCGTCTTGGCAGGCTGACTGTTTGCTAATTAGCACATATTCCTTGCAGGCAGGAAAAACAAGCTGGCGACAGTGTCAACATTTCACGTGCCGGCAAGGACTTCTCGTCTGCGGCGGATTAAATTGTTTAATTTTAAATATGCTCTGTCACTTCATTTGTAAGCCAATCGGCGGGAATGATGGGGATGGGGTTGGGTGGTTGGGGGGTTGCGGGTTTTTCTTGACGGCAAGTTCGGCAAAAGTTTGCAGAGAGAGAAAAATCATTAGCACACGCCGCAAGCGAAAGGATAACAGATTTTTCTGCTAATTTGAGACGTAGTCCTTTGTGCGTGACGACCAGACAGCGCACTGAATGGATGAAGGTGGCTACTGCTTCAGCTCCAGCTTCAGCTCCAGCTCCAGCTCCACAGACAGATGGAGACCCTATCACAGACTTAAGATCAACTTCTTGCCGCCTGTCGTAGTCGTCGTTTTGGTTGAGTGACGAAGCACAGAGATAAGCTTTTAGCCTGGCAGGATGCGGAGCTTGTGTTGGTCCTAGGGTTGTAGTTGCGGGTGTCCTGAAACTTTCTCAATAAATTGCGTTTCTCGGTTGCACGTTGACAGTTTTGCTTAACGCTTCATAATCAGAAAACAAATACGTTGCCATCTAATTGTGTGTCGCATGCTCTCGCTCCAGCAATTAAATGCCCAAGGACCTCAGCTTGGCCCCACAACGCGACACAGCTGCCAGTTCCGTTTGGCGCTGGGCGATAACTTTTAAATATCCAGCGCAAATACGGCCGACTAGCTCGCGCAGGATGTGCCTGTTCTTGGTCCGTGATCTGTGTGTTGGCAAGTTTTTAACGCTTCGCCGATTGCTCACAAGACGAAATTAATTGTTGAGTAATTGAAATTTTATTTATATTAGTGTCCTTTTGCGCGGATTTGCCTTACACCCACACGGCAGGCGGCATTCTCTCAATACACCCCTGTTTGCGACTCAAGTGTTTAATTCACGGTCTCGCTTTATAATCTGGTGTTCGGTTTAGGCCTCAGTGGCTTCCATGGCTCTGATTTTTTATACAAATTTGTTTTGGCTTTCGGGCCCCAAGCGCCTCGAGCGGACAGAAAATCAATTATTCGCTTTGCTGATGATGTCATTTCCAACTTCAAGTTCCCTGTTCAAGTCAATAAAAGTGCAAAGTCTGTCAGACGCTTATCCGCTAAGCATTTAGGCCAGATTGTTATCTGAAGGCGATATTTCTTGCTTCAAAATATCCTATATGTTTATATAGGTGTATAGACTAGCTTCAGCAAGGCGTTCATAGAGACCTGCCAGATATAGCAGCTACCATGAGCTTGAACCCCCTTTTGGAATCTTTGTTAATGCATTTTAATTTAATTTTGCATGCCCAACCGCACAGCACAACCCAAATGGCCAATGCAGAAATAGAAAAAGCCAGTCCAACAATGTTGTCCACATGCACAAGAGAGATGCTTTTCGTTGGCAATGAGAGGGCGTGGGGCGGCGGATGTGGATGTGGGTGTGGCAATTGTGAAATGGTTGGTTTGAGCTGCAACCAAAGTGGCACTAGAGTCAATAAGAATGCAATGTCGACGTCTGCCGGCCACATAACAAGCTGGACACGACACGTCACAATGAGCACGAACACGGTCTCTGAAAGGCTATCAGCAGCACACACTCCCACACAGACACACTCCCACACACACACACACACAGACACACACAACGAGCAACAACATAATTGCCGGTCATTTGCAGCAAAATGAACAACCCGGCTGCCCAGTTAGCCAGATACCCGGTCAAGTATTCAGTATTACCAGCTTCCAGTTAGCTACGTTTGTCATATGCAAATCAAATAGAAATGAGATTGAGTGGAGTTTAGGGTTGCCACCGTTCGGTTGGCAACATTGTTGCAGCAACATGTCGCGACGCTGGCTGCCTTTTGTTTTTATACCCTGAACCCATTAAAAATGGTTATAAGGGTATATTGTATTTGTGCAAAATCCAAATGTATGTAACGGGCAGAAGGAAGCATCTCCGACCCCATAAAGTATATATATTCTTGATCAATATACGAGTCGATCTAGCAATGTCCGTCCGTCTATCCGTCCGTCCGTCTGTCCGTATGTATGAACGCAAGGATCTCAGAACCTATAAGAGTAAGAGACTTGAAATTTGAGATGTAGCCTGCGCAGATCGAGTCTGTTTCCGATAAACGATAACTTACTCCGTTTCAAAGCAATCGATAAAAATCAATATCGATATAATAAGAGCTAGAGTCACCAAACTAAAATAGAATATATATGTGCATTTGATGTTGGACGAAGAGGGTTCAGGGTAACCCCTAGTCGGAAACTCCCGACTAGAACCTCTTACTTGTTTTTACTGCAAAACGCAGTTTTTTATGCGCCAGCAACAGCATCAAATTTTAAATTGTATGCCAGAGAGTATGTGGCACGAAAGCGCTGGAGATGAGTTCACCATTTTGATGGCCAGGATAAACTAACTGCCAGTGGCCAGGCTACTTGAAGGGTCTCGAGAACCGTTTGCTTTTATTGGCTGACCACGGCACCGCAGACAATTACGTTAACTGCGGTCAGAAATGCAATGCGACTACAGTAAAGTCATGTGTATGAAGTACACTAAATGCCATTAGTTATGCTAGCGTGTTACATGTCGTATGCGTAATGTTTTGAGGGGCTGGGCCATGTCGAGTCTGGCCATTTAATTTGAAAAGTTGTTATCAAAATAAGTGCAACAATTGCAGACATGACTCGCCGTCCAACTACACGGCTTGTTGCTACATTTAATGTTGGCCATAAAAACTGCCGCTTGAGAGAAAATCTCATTAGAATAATGCACACAAAGTGTGCAGAGACAAGGTACACAAGGAGCGAGAGAGAGAGAGAGAGAGAGAGAGAGATAGAGAAACAACAAACAATTGTTGATTAAATTCATTCGAGTCATTTGCATATAAAATTGTCTGTCGGCTGTTGTTGCGTTTTATTATGAAACCACATCGAAAAGTCATTTCGGTATTTGGCAAAAAAAAAAAGAAAAGAGGAATGCTCCGTTCGCATTTTGGCCACAAGAATAATGAATGAAGTTGCCAAGTCTTAAGTCGCACAACAATGCCAAGCAACACTCTCCTGCCTGCTGTTGACAATGACAATGACTTAGGTGTTTGGCTTTGCGGCTGCCAGTCGCCATTTGAGCCTCAACAGACTCGGTAGACAACGGGCGCTGTTGCTCTGGCTGTGCACAGGATTTGGAAATGCACTTAGGTGTTGTCTTTGGTTGGCGCATTGTTCTCTTTTTGGGGGTAGCTCTTGTTTTGATAATTTAATTGAAAATGGCTACGCAAAATGGCAATGCAATGTTTATTTCGCTTGCGATTGGCAAAATGAAACTGTGCGAGGGCCGCTCGACAGGTTGAACAAAATAGATCTTTCTATAGTATAAAGATGATTCCATTAAAATAAAGCTATATGGACAGCAGGAGAGGCTAATTGAAATAAAATATGTGCCTAGCTACAAAGGGCACATAAAGAAAATGGCGATATCTGCTGGAGTTGAACCAGCGACTTATCGCTTGTCAGATCGACGCCACACAAATACCTAGTCCACATAGTGTGAAGAAACAATGAAGAAATATAAAAATTAATAGTTACTGCTGGAGTTGAACCAGCGACTTCTCGTTTGTCAGACCGACATATATAAATGCTTGAGCCACACAGGCAACAGTGGAAAAAAACTAAAACTAAAAATATACAAAAATTACTGCTGAATGTTGAACCAGCAACTTCTCGCTTGTCAGGCCGACATACCTGAACTCTTAATCTATCTGGAATACAGTTCTTGTCAACTCTTAACTTATTGGTCAAACCCCTTATAAGAACTGGCAAATGGAAGTGCAACTCGAACCCTTTGTTAAGCTGACTGGCCCATGTGGCGACTAAACTTTAGACACACATGCCCATTGATTGCATTAGGCCAACAATGGATCGAGAACTTCGTTCACACATGTGCGGAGCACACAGTGAATTAAAGTTGGCAAAAGTTTTGGCAGATGAAGACAAGACGAGAGATAGCCTGGCAGCAGCTAACAGCTTTTACCAATTTTAATTGACTTTGGGCAACAGACCGCAGCAAGAGGTGGCAGCTTTTGTGTGGGCGGCTTGGAAAATGCAGGAAATGCCTCGTTTGACTTTTATTGAATTAAAATTGCG